TTTAGGGGCCAAAAGGAGCAACATGTGATTACTCTGGAAGTCTGAAACATACATAAGTTATGAGGCTAAAATTAGTCACGGGAGAAACTGCCAAAAGTAAGTGTGCCTTCTAAAAATACGGTCTCACCAAACATTTCTAGTAGACAATTTCCTAGACTACAAACTGAATATATTGAGGCATTTCCGTGGCCCAAATGGTTGTTCAACATGATAAATGTCCAATACGTTTTTATACGTCCATAAATTTAACTTGCAACCGATGAAAAATGTAACGTTGAGGAGGCGGTAGCAAAGAGTCAGTGCGGCTGACGGAATTTCTTCTGCAGATAAGCAATCATCTGTGAAGTCAAAGACACAGCGTAGCTCTGTCTGGACTTCCCATCAGTCATCACCCAGAGGACGTACGTGATCGCAGTGGTCAGCGAAACAAGGCAGCCGGAGCAGTAAGTCATGTTTCATACGATATGTTAGACAAGTGTTTCTCTGATCTGTTCTGTTAACATAGAATCTGCCAAATTTTCTAAAGCTAGACAACACCCATAAACCCTAATGAAAAACGACAAAATCCAAGAAAAAGCATTCATCAGGCTGCTTGGCAGCTGCTGCGGGACCTGACCTGAAATTAGAAATTACTTTTTGAGAACGATGCAGCAGCAGAATAGGACGGAGATTCAAAAACACTCCAGTAAATATTATGGGTAACCATCAACTTTTGCTGCTTTGGACTGGGCAACGGAGAAGGAGGAACATATTGAATTCATCGCTGAAGAAAAGTATGAATAATAAAGGGGATAAATTTCAACATTTGTTGGCTATTGACACACCGCTGGAATATAAACGTGACCCTCTGTGCACATGCCTTTGCTTTATTAAAATATGTATCCCAGATCAATCATTACCTGATAAATAATAGAGTGAAATAAGAAAACATGTTGAACTTGCTGAACCTGTGTTTGAGGATTGTTGTTAATGTAGTCAGAGTGATGCACTGGAGCGTTACAGCATGAGGTCGTTACCCTCTCATCAGTAAGTACAGCCCACAGATTACAACCAAGTCACTGGTCGAGCTCAGATCAACTGTCAGAGCAGCTCACGTCTGTTTATGTCAATGTCAGTTTCTTTCTCCATAGATTACGGTCATATTTTCAACGTTTCTCAGTGTCACGGTCGGTATTTTAATGTGACCTCATGTTGAGGTGCTGGTCTGGATATGTTTTAGGTGTGAAAATTACAGCATTACCCAAAGCCAAGTCTGATGAATTTTTTCAATGACGCATTAAAGAAAGCCAGACAACACCACGGTTGTTCCGACATTAAATTAAACTTTTTTTTTTCATTCACTTTGTTTTTCTTCTGCTTCACTTAAAAAAAGCTGAGCAACAAACATGATGGCAACTAAAGCTCCCTCAAACCGACCCACATCACCATAATCTTGGCCTACTGCACCACTCTCCACTTGGTACCTCAAAGACCAATTAAAAAGCTGCCGCAGCCACTTTGTGGCTGGTGAACTCTGACCCTGGACCAAGGCTAAGTGTAGTTATGACCTGGTTCCCATGGGGGGGCCTTGACATCTACAAACCCTATTTCCCATTTATTTGGCCCCGTTTTCACACCAGCAGAACTTCTGACCAAACCTTAATAAACAGTATTTTTTTTTATTTCTTCTAAACATTTATTCGATGAAATAATTGAAATATATATATCATTTTTGCAGCTTTCTTTACACAAAGTTTAACTCAGTGATTCCTGTGCCGTTATAGATGATTGAATGTTCTGTGAAAATGTATCCAGTTTCACTTAATTAGTCTAAATTATTTATTAACTGCAAATAATTTGTGTTTGTTCGTTAATTAGTGACAGGAAGAACAATTAAATACTCTTTCACCAGGTGGCAGCAAATGGATGTACAAACTAAAAAAAAGACAGAGAACCAAGAAAATCTTTGGGTGTGTCTTCCTTCAATTCCTGCAGGTAAATGTCTTGTGTTCAACTAAACTATGAAAGTAAACTGTGACTAAACTAACACTGACATTCAAAGATCATTGCAGTTTTGAACATTTTTGTTTGGTGATGCATCATGGGTTTTTAAATGTAAAGCACCGTGACTCAAAAAATGTGGGAAACACTGGGTTTATAAGTCTATGGTTTATGTTTGATTCAAAGATCATTGCAGTTTTGTTTGGTGATGCATCATGGGCTTTTAAATGTAAAGCACCGTAACTCAAAAAATGTGGGGAAACATTGGGTTTATAAGTCTATGGTTTATGTTTTAAAATTTGGTTTAAATGTCAAAGACATCTGTGCATCAGCCTGTTATTAAGTCTGATAAATAAAGATTCGACTTTCTGGTGACAGGGTTTACAACAAGGGTTATTTTATAATGTGTTCCACTTTTGACTTTCGGGTGACGGGGTTTTACAGCCAGGGTTATTTTATAATGTGTTCCACTTTTTTTAACCATTTAAAGACTGTAGTGCTGCGTTGCTCACCTTGACAGTGTGTCAGATTCATCCGTTTGAAACCTTTGGAACACTCCACCTGTCCATTTGCGATAACTGTGAACGCTACAAACAGAAAGACAAAAGCACAGGATTAGACGGACTTCATAGAGCTGCCTCTCTCTGTCACAGAGAACGGCGTGCGTCGTGGACAGAGCAGTTCCAGTGAGCATATAACTTACAGATGTTAACATTATGGAAACAGTAGAAATGAGGGGACCCACAGATGGGCCTCGGGGGAGGCCCGTGTAGGAGTATGGAAATGGACAGAACTGTCATCCAGCTGAATGTAACACTAACAGGCACGTCATCTACAATCATATTATCTATAACTCTCTCCAGCCCCTAGGGGGACATAAAGGAAGTGCTTATATCATAAATATGTCGAAGAACGCCACGAGAGGGTCTCGACCTGTATATTCAACCACAGAGAAAATTTGTTTAAACAAAGACTAATGCTCTAACAGGGGTCATAGGATGTGTGCATTACAAGAGAGGAATAGCCGTGAAAGTCTGTTTGTATTCCTCTTGTATTGCGGGCTTTAACCGCTGCAGTAAATAACTGTGTCTCTGTTAATGATCCACTGTGACCATACCACCAACTTCTGCGGCCTGAAAACATTCTGCTCCTAATGATTCTGCACCAAGTAAAGCCTCGGCGTGTGTCACAGTCTGTATCAGATGTCTGTATCTGTATGTTTGACCTTGCCTAAAGTAGTTGTCTTAAACTCCTGGCTGGTGGCCCATAAAATTTTCACATGTGGTCCATGATGATTTTTTTTTCTACATCAATTTATTTTCGTATTGAAAATCTTACAGTCAGTTTGAAGCCTCCTGACATGTGATGGAGAAATGAGGTTTTCTGTTGAGAGGAGCTTTGAAATATCATTACAATAGAACTGGGTTTCACGTTTTGATAAAAAAACAGTTTTCGACCAAAATATTAAACCTAGTTTATATAAACAAATACTTGTCCTGTTCAGATTCAATTTCAGTTTACTCATTGTCCAAAATCAAGAGCAAAGTAGATATTTCTTGCATATTTAAAAACAGCAGCGAAAGACATTGATGACAATCTTCAAATTAACACCAAGGCCAGGAATGAAATTCAATTTCATGAAATTCACAACAGTGACCAAGAATCAGTCAACACAAAAACAAGACGTCACCACTGGCAAAGAGATCTGGAGCAAAAAGCATCTCTGTGTCGCCCAACAAACCTCGACAAATACATGGCAATTATTGCACTGTTTTGAGGTTGTAGCCACTCAGCAATACCTTTAACAGACTTCCATATATAACTTCATATATATCTTAAAACTTGAACTACATAACCAGTCGAGTCCTCGGTTCTTTTCTCATGAGTGAATGGAATGTGTGCAATGTGAAGGTTTTTAGGAACAGGTCTGAGACGCTGAGTTGTGTTTTTGTCTTGCTGTGACCCAGAGGAGCAGACAGGGTAGGTGTACCTGAGGCCCAGCAGAGCAGAATTGGGTCAGCGTGAAGGGGGCAATGGGAAAAAAGAAATGTGTTAAAGAATTGCCCCTGTTTTGACTCTAATCCCCCTCCGCACTGCCTGAGTAATGAGCTGTTGTGATGGGTAGTCGGTACGTTCTCCTGCCGCGAAGGGATCAGTCTGGGCGGAGAGACAGTAGGGCGCACATGCCAAAGGAAAGTCAGAGGGGGAGTTCAGGATGTCCACCCACAGGGTTAGACATTGAATTTCAAAATGTCTAGGATTGTTTTCTGTCTCTGGAAAAACAATGTGATTGTTATGGTAATGACAGTGTAACATTTTTAAAGGAAAACGTATCCATGGCAGGTTGTTCCGATGTTGTGACAGCACGGTGCTGACATTAATAAACACATTTTATTCATTAAAGACACAAAAAGCCTTTTGTCCTTACAGAGCAAAAAGTTCTGCCTGAATCAATGTACGTAACCGCCGTCCCCGAAGCAAAAGTCGCTAAGTGCTGAGACCTCGAGTCAGTCTGGGACTTAAACTCAGTCAACTTGATCATGTAATTAGCATAACTATACACAAAGCTACAGTTGAGGTATTCACCAGGATTTGATCACATGTCTGTTCTCATGCTTGTTTCTACAGTCCACAGAGTGAACTCAAGCTGCGCATCATTAGTGTCACCCTTGGTTACAAAGGCTGCGGACTCACAGGCCGATCTTTGTGCTGCGAGGACGTCGACAAAAACATCCAATTGTTGTCCGTCCGTTTAGCCCCGTGTGACAAAAGACTTTGTCACCCCTCACTAATTTAACGTCTGCCTCCATTCGATTGTGTTTTGCATTCCGCTCCTCACTGTGTAGCAATATTTGCTCACATTCCTGTCAATTTCAATTGCTTCGACCTCGTTGATTGGGAGTTGCTGTCCTTAATCAGATCACAGCAGGGGGGTGTGTCTCCTAAATATAGAAGTTAAACTGCGGCAGGCGCCACAGAGAGCGTTCCGATTGAGGGACAGCTTTACATATGGAGAAGAAAGTAAAGAAAGGGAGGAGGACAGAAAAGTGTTAAGCTCTTAAACCCCCCTCCCCCCCCATATAGAAATATCTATTTGTTAGCTGGTTAGCATTGGTCTGCAGACCACACAGACGTGGGTGTTTTTCTAGAATTACTAAAAGGTCTGGTCTCTCAATCACAGGGCTCGGTGCCCTTTCCCAGCTTCCTTAGGGACCTGGCTAAGAGGCAACCTTAATGTTGGACATCTCATCGCAACTGTCTGGAAAACCTTAGAAAGTGTGGTGGACAGGAGCTGAGACGGAGGCATGGCATCCACAGACCCCGACAAAGAAGAATGACTTTTCTTTCCGTTGCGTACCACAGTAGGAAAACAACCAACACAAAAACCAACTCTTCCTCGGGACACTCTTCGGCGATTGACTTTCTTGACTTGGTGCCACTGGACAAAGTGGTGCCACAAAAAAGAAAACCGGGAAAATGAAAAGAGACATAATCCAACTGATGTGTTTTGGTCTGTGAATTTTTCTAAGAAGCCAATGCCATGTCCTTTCGGAACAGGAGCCAACACTTGACTTGAGGAAACGGTTTGAAGCAGAGCCATTTTGCTCTCACTAGAAAATGTGTCCTTGGCACACGCCACATTTGCCACGAAGGCACGGTTCATGTGCTGTAGTCTTCTTTATGAATAGCGTGCCCTCTGCCTAAGAGGCAAGGCTAATCAGTTAGGACACATGGGACTAGTGTCAACATCCTAACAGAGCCAGAAGCAAAACACGCTTCAAGAGATAGATGAGATCGGCTCAGTCATTTACAGCCTGAGCTGTGTATCTGGATCGTATTGCTTCAACACAAGGATTCCAGAGCGTACTGTATGGGCCTCAACAACAATATGGCTCTGATGAGAGGATTACTTCATTTTTCTGCCACATTAAATCTTAACTCATAACATACCATCCATGGCTTTCACTCACACAACTTTACGTCTCTTTTTATAACTGTGACAATGGAGATTAACGCCCTTTTTCCGAATGTTGATGGCAAATCAAAAAAAATCAAACAAACATATGAAACAGAAACCCAAATGCAACTCAATTTATAAACCACCCAAATCTTTTTTTAATGGTAGGTATACAACAGAGCATTTGTTTTATTTTGCATTTCAATTAAGAAAAGCAGCTAACGTCGCATCCATTTGCCTTCACCAGGATTTATTTCTCCTAGCGGTTAGCTCGGCTGAATCTTAAAGAGCTGTACTGCAGCCCAGCTAATAGGTTCCATCGCTTCAGTTGTGAAAGGATAACGCTAAGTCAACTCCAGTGAATCAAATGCTGTCAAAAGAGATGTACACTAACTGTCTTTGTCTAAACGCCACAAAAAGAAGCCACCGAGCAGCTCCTCCAATACAGCTGCTGTTTCGCATCCAATTTCGACAACAAAGTTGCAGCATCTCTGGCTTTTTGTTGGTTATTAACATGTTCTACTTTGATCATCTGTGAAGTCTATCATAAGCACATGTGTTTGCTGCTCGATGTACAGTACAGTGGAGTTCTGGTGATGAGTACATTTGGGAAGGTAGACAAGTCCATGAATCGCTTCGTCTCGTTCTGTTTGATTCGTTTGCTATTGTAAAAAAAAAAAATCATTAAAACCACATTAAAACGAGTTTTCATTACAGAGCCATATAAAAGAACTGCACTGATTGGAATGGACATGCAACTCCCAGAGTGAGAGGCGGAATCGTGAGTGTAGCAAAGAAAGAAAAGACAGAGAATTGACATCATGATAGCCTTGCTGACCCAGGGAGGCTGGGATTAGGACGGCCAACGCTCCCGTGGGTGTGGTGTTTGCTCTACGCCCTTGGGATGTCTAATGAGGGTCTTTGGGAGGCATCCCAGTATCACAGACAGAAAGGGGTCTTAGTCCAGCACAGAAAGCTGGGATGGCACACGTTCTGCAGCACTCGATTAGCCGTGAAACCATCAGTAACACAGATGCACTGACATGGCTCACAGTTGGGCAAAACCACATGGATACTGGATGTCCTCAAGAATCATACTGTTGATGAATCAATGCTCAAGAGCCCAATGAAATGTCTTCAGTGTTTGTTGGATGCCCCCCTACCTGTTGGGGGTAACCAGTATTTTTAATTTTTCGGTTTACGATTCTGTTTAAAATCTCTAAAAATGGCAGCTTGTGCATATTTGTCTCTTCTCCTCCACATTACAAGAAACAGAAGGATGCAGTTCTACTGCAGTTTTCTGGTTGGTCTGGATCTCATTACGATCCAAGAATCCTCAGTATGTAACTGTAATACGCTGAATACTAACGGCTGTAGCTCCCAACTGTGATGGGACACAAAGGCAGTCGAGTCTTTATACAGTCCCAAAAATGCAAAAAAGAAATGTACAGCAGTTATATTCTGTTCTTTACAGTATCTGTAATTTACTTGATGTTAATACAGTAAGTATTTAGATGCCTTAGTCCAGCAGCTGGGATATTTCAGTCATATCACAACTCTTTATACAGAGATAAGATGGATCACTGGATAGACGTCTACCTGATACTATAAGGTTTCCGGTTACAGTAAATGGTACATACATTAGTACTGAACCCACTCAAGTGATTTACATCACAGGTTCTACTGTTGGTGTCTAGGGCGACATGTCGACTCACATATCTGAAATCAAACCCCCCAGTTATGGGTGAAGTACTCCAGGAGTACTCACAGCTGCACCTGGAAACATCAGCAGGACAACATACGGAGCTTAGCTCAACCTTATAAGAAACCAACCAGTGAGCCGATTAATCATTATTTCAACTTCTGTTATACCATTATAGGTAATGTACAAAAAAATTAAAAAATGTATTTATATTCAGTGATTAGGGCACAAAATAACAAATGTACAAAAAAAATAAAAAAAATAATTAATATTCAGTGATTAGGGCACAAAATAACCTGAATAGATTGAAATGATATAACAAGTATAAAAAATATGAATACTGAAAAAAATAAAAAATATATATCCTTGGAGGAATGTTGGTGTAATTTGTGTTTTATTGAAAAATTGCACCATTTAAAGTATGATCCCAACGAGCCTGCATTTCAAGATTTCTTGTTATAAATACTGAGCTGAGTCTGGAGGGTCTCTAATGTGGATTAAACTATTTGGAATGGAATACAATAATCAGAATAGAAGTATTGTGACTAGAAAAGAAATCCATTAACCAATGGTTACTTTGGCATCCTTTGAAAATGCAATTTAAAACATTGAGTAATGTTTGCTCTCAGTCACTGGTGCCTTTTGTAACTGGTCATAAAGTGACCACTGGTAGCATTACACCACTCAATTCAAACTTGGCTTTCATGACGTTGTTATCACGCACTTAAAAACCCACACAGGAGACTCGGACAAAGCTGCATGAGTTTTATCCACACTGCCAGCCGGCAGCTGACCTATTAGAGGCCATTAAACGGCATCAATTTTCAGGCGCTGTTGTCTCCAGGTTACACATCATTCCTGTCAAACCCAAAAGACAGCCTGGGTGTGGGCCAGACACATCGAGCCAAGGGTCTAAACCGAGAACAATAACACTCTGAAGGAATTCAAAGCATTTGTTTTATTAAGGTCCAATCCAGAACTTTTTGGAGATAACATATTGCTCTACTTGAATTCATTTCTCTCCTCTTACATTATCTACCCTGCCTGCGTGTGACCTAGGACCCAGGCCTACATTATGCTGCCCCCAAAACAACCATAAAAATGAGTGAAAGCATATTCACTCTGTTTTTTTCCAGAGGCTTCAAAGGAGGAAGCAGAGAAAAACATCTGGGAGCCAAAAGCCGTCTCACCGGGGAATAAGGAAGAACAGGAATCAGACGTGCTGAGTCGGATAGACTGGTATTTATGATAGATGAAGGTGACAGTGATCACCGTGTCTGCTCCGCATTTACAGTAGGTCCAGTCAGAAATTAAAAAAACAGAGCACAAGGAATGTGACTCTGACATCTTAGGATGTGGACATGAAATTGAATTAATTATGCCTAGAACGGAGGGACGGAACAGTTTATCAGCCTCAGTTGCCACAGCTGCAGCACACGGAGATTAGAAACGCTGCCCGGAAAGAGACGTTTTCTATCTTTTAATGTCTATCTACAGCAAATGGGCGTTGCCACGAGCCGCTGCTGTTTGTCAAACCTACCACAGCTTTGGTTGGACGATTCGTTTCCTCACTTATTTGAGGCCACATTGCCTCATTCTGCCCACACGGTGGGTGGCACTCACACCAGGCTCCCATCCCCAAGATGAATGTGTTTTCACTGCACTGCTTTCTGCAAATAGCTTCAATTTTTTTATGTCCTTGTGTAAAGACAAATCACGCAGCCAAAGAAGGAGACTGGGAGCCTAATGGTGGCTGGTAACAGCATCGAGGACGTGAGACCACCAAGTGAGCTCGATGACATAAGCAAAAGAAAAACTACAAGAAAATGATGTGTAATAAATGAAATATTGCATTTAGCTCGAACGAACACCTGCTCAGATTTTGTAGCTTTAGTTTGTAGCTGACCTGGTTTAGTCGGACACTTCTGGCACTTGTGCAGACCCCAGGAGGCGCCCACGCTTCCGCAGCAATCATCCTGTTTGGTCAGGCCTGGCAGAGGTTTGCCACACTACAACAACAACACAAGTCTGTGTTACATCAAAGAAACAGGTTTTAACAAGTTCTGTGTTTGTACATGCTTGTTTGTGCGTATCTCCGTGCATGTGCCAGGGCTGGATTCATGCGTTTGTGCTACGCTTCAGATAATGCCAATCTACAACGAGGCAAACAGATACAGCTGAAACTAGTTACTGACAAACACGGAAATACTCAACACTAGGAAAAATGATAAGCCTCCTGGCATCGTATTAGGCTAACGTTTAGGCCAGTCGTTAGCTAGGATTCCTGTTGGAATCTCTTCTGTCTGAATGAAAAAAAGGATCCAAAGTTAAATCCCGTTGAAGACAAAAATGCCTGGCAGAAGAAGAGACAAAACGGTAAACTTAAATGTTTGTATAAACACCCTTTTCAGGGTAACTTGTGTCGGGATTAGGATACATCAGTGGAAGGTTTCAATTCTGTCTTTCCCAGAATCTGTGAGAAAATCAGCCAAATGAAAACAACACTGAGAAACAATATGTTACTGTTTCTCAGTGTAAACACTTGGACTAAAGCTGACTTATATATTTACCCCAGAATGCTACCTTCTCTGCTACGCTAAGTCTGTGCTTGTCCACAGCTGTGTTACACATCAGAGAATGGCCGGACTAGTTTAGGAGCGGTTTTAAATTGTGTCAGAGAATGACTAGTTTAGGAGCGGTTTTAAATTGTCGTTAAACTGATGTACTGATCTGAAGACTGGTTTATGGTTTACTGGAGTTAGCGTGGCTAGACAACACACTACAGAACTTTAGTTTTGTACTGAGAAATCTCTGTTTTGTTGGGTTCTTTTTTTTACCATCAGGATTTACCTCTTAGCCCCCAGTTACTGACAAACACCCCAGAACACCTCACCTGTTTCTCCTCGCTTTTTTTTACCCTCAGGATTTATTTCTTAGCCCAGAACACCTCACCTGTTTCTCCTCGACAGCAGGTGTCAGTTAAAACGCCCGATTACAGTCAACAAAACAGGTGGTGTTCTAGCTGCTGTAAACCTCACTCTGGCTAATCTTATAAACTGTTGCTAAAAGCATTTAACCATTGTTACGCTAAACATAATTTCTTTTAAAAAACACACTCTAGCTCAAAATTTGTATAAGTTAGGATCCTTGTGAAAGGTTGTATGTCCAGAGTGGCTACAGATGCTGTAACACAAATCCCTGCCGTGGGCCTGTTTCCTGTTTGAGACTGCGGAGGTGAAGTTAAATATACATAATGATACCTGAGGCCAAAGGATATTTTCAACCACTGGTTTCCATGTGTCTGACAGGTGGTGCGGGAGAGCTGGTGATGACAGCTTACTGTGTTCACAGCATACCTGGCCATCTACTGTTTCCTGAAAGCATCTTCCCACATGTCCGTTCTGACGGGGCTGCAGTCTGGTGTGGCTGTTGCCGTTCTCGTTCCCGGTGAAGTGCAGTTGTCTGCCGTTGAGCTCAATGGTGGCTTCGTGTCCATTACCGGGCTGGGAGCGTTGCTGGACGGAATGTGCGCCCTCTGGGATGGCCAGTCTGTGACCCGGCTGCACTCGAGCTACCTGGTGGATCTCAATCTCAGCCTCGGGTGGATGCTGTATGTGGACATTCACCAAGGACGGGTGGAGGGACACTGCACATGGAACGACACAGCACATCCAGCATAGTCAACTGTCAGTCTAACAGTGGAGTCAGCAGCAGCTGACATCAACTCCATCAACATGTTTTCAGTGTCTTCCAGGCCAATAAATATATTTAAAGACAAACACAACAAAGGCAATAAGAGTCTCTGGCTCAAATTAAATCTTCCTCAAGCCATAAAACAGGTTTACCAAGGATTTAGGACGATGTTGCAGTGAGGAGAATGAGTTTCTTTGTCCTACTGACAGAGGGGAAACATCTATCTTCGGGGAGTGCCAGGGTTTTTTCCCAGAATCCTGACCAACTTTCATGATTCATAGTCTTACACACCAAACGGCAGCAAGAGTCCAAAAAGAAGAACTCGGCCTTATCAAGATTCCTGAACACGAAACATCGTAGAAACATGTAGGACAGAAGGCTAATTTCTCTGCGGTGATATAACAACACAGGCATCAGACTTTTCCCCCTTAATAATATTCAAAATAAGGGATGGAAGACTTCGGAATAGAATTTAAATAATCGAAGACGGCACTTCTGCTTTTACTTAGACAGAGCGAGCTGCTCAGAGAGACACGAGGAGGAAATAAAAAAATAACACCAAAGGAGAAGGAAAGAGAAATACACAAGACTTTCTTTTTTTATATTGGCTATTATCATTTCATGCTGTCGCTCTGCTCTGGTTCTAATTTTCACCCCTGTTTGATGAAAGCAGTATTGTGTGAACAATATGAGGACTTCCACTGAGTCATACAGTGCAATACAAGGTCCACTTGGAATCAAATTTGAACTTTATTCCTTACCCAAAAACATGGAACGTTGTAAGTGTTTGATTGGCCCTGGATTTCAACATCATCCAATACAAAACCAACAATAACACAGAAAGAAGAATTTTGGGACGATCCTCGAGAAACATGGAAAAATATGAAACAAGCCCAAGTCAAAAGGTATATGACGGTGATTATCAACACGTGGCCCACAGGCCAAATCTGGCCCAAACAATCATCCAATCTGGCCCCTGATTGGACTCCAAAAAGGTGCTTGTCCAGATAAATACTGTCCCTCTGAAGGCCCCTGACTGGACTCCAAAAAGGTCCTTGTCCAGATAAATACTGTCCCTCTGATAAAGTTACTGACCTGGTTATATGTAATACATTCAATGTTTATTATATGTACATTTTCCAGTATCAAGTCTCTTAGTGTTTTATAACGAAGAACATTTTTATCGTCATGTGCCAGTCCTGTTGTTACCTTGCTGATTGGACAGTGGAAGTGTGTACATTGAGTGGGAGCTGGGTCCAGTATGGCTGGGGTCCTTGTGACTGTGAGGACTTGTCCTTGCTGGAACTGGTACTGGTAGGTGGCAAAACTTCCCTGTGGAGTTTGACGGACACCAGCAGACATCCCTGCCGATGCATCGGCCTCCGTTGAGACATGGAATCTGGCAGAAGACTGAAGGAAAAACAAAAAGGGCAGAATGAGGATGAAGGATGAATTTAGGTAAAACTCTAAAAACAAAGATCGTTACAAAACAAGTACGATTTACAGGAGAGACAGAGAGCACAGACCAAATGGTCCAACTTGGCAACAGGGCTGATGCCAATGTAGTAACCTACATAACTGGGTCAGTTTACATCAGGAGATTCACTCTGACTCCACCTCTGCATCATGGATGCAAAAACGAAAACATTTCACACAACTGTGACGAACAAGAAAATGAACAACTCTCGAGCACAAAAGATGTTAAAATGAAACGCTGCACTTTTCCAGCTCGGCAATTTCACACACCACAAGATAGCTGGATGGTCAGCGGGTCCAGGACTGTGGTATGAAAGATGATACCAGTGATGGAAATTTGCTGTGAGATGTGTCGTCCCTGACTCATTCGGTCAGACAGTAAACACTCAAACAGGGAACAGACACTGGACAACATCAATGGCATGCTGGAAATGAGTGGTCTGTCACATGACATTAACAGCAGTGTGACTGGAGAAGGACGAGAGGGAGGGTTGGAATAACCATAAAACAATAACAGATAGGGAATGAAAGGGATTAGAGGAGAATGTTGAAAACAAAACTGAAAAGGGATTAAAGACAGTCGTGACGAGAAAGAGGGGGAGACAGCGATTTGGAAAGGCAGAGAAGACCATTCAGAGACACTCTGCTTTGGTGGACAGGCGTTGTTAAAAGTGTTACCAGCTCACCGCTGTAACATCCTGTCAGTGATGGTTGCAGGACTGCACAGGTCAAAAACTATTTTAAGATCGCCTCACTGCCTCTGTCTGCCTCATTAACAACCCCCAACAACCAAATAAACACACACACACACACGCGCGAGTCCTTTAATAAACCGACCTCAGCCCAACCTAATATCAGGCTTTAAAATAAGAGCTGTACACAGGGTGTGTATCAGGGAAAGCTGTTATAATTACCCGGCCTGATGTTACCGCACAGCACGAGATAGCTGTAAGTTGTCCACTTGACATTCTTTGGCCAACACGCACGCCCAGGAAATAACAGGACGCGAAGCTACATGGGAAGCAATCTCTTTTTAACACGCTCTTTAACACTTGCTTTGACACAATAAAGGCCGATTTCTAGATAATAAAAAGAGAACATAAAAACAAACTGCAGCCTAGGACCAAGTGGAAGTGCCAGGAATGTAATCTTGCAGATATCCTCTGCCAGGAACACTCAAGTGTTTGTAATATCAGAGCCACGTGCCAAAAACTGTTAATAGACAGTTATGAGGTCAAAATGTTTAGAGGTTTTTTGTTTTGTTTTGTTTTTATTTTATCTATTTGTCAGGTATTGAGCTGTGTTATATATCTCCTAATCTGACTTTCTTTAACCCCCGTTATTGAACAATTTGGAAATGAGCTCAGGCTTCTTGACACAGGTTCTCCTGGAGCGATATCTGATTTTAGTGTTCCTCCCGAAACTGAAAGAACATTGGAAAGGAACTCAATTCCAGTCAAGAGACCAGGCATGGAATCAGGATGTGATCTGGTGAGGGGGGTGAGAGGGGGGGGTAATTTGGTCACACTATTGCAAGACTGATTTTTGTCATCGTACATATATACATAGAATACAAACCCAATTCTTACTTATTCATGTTTTATTGACATTCTTTTGTTCGTATGAGTTCGTATCATTTGTCTGGACTGTTCCTGTACTGCATGGATCATAATAAACACTCTTTTCAATAGAAGACAAATCTGGACTGCAGGCAAACCAGTCAAGCCCACAGACTTACTATCTATCAAACAGCATATTTCCTGAATAATAAAATATAGAACAGCTGCTAGAGATGAATCTTGGTGATTTACCTTCGTATCTACTGCATGTACTGTACACTGTCTATGCCATTTCCTGTATTGTTTTAGCCTAAATAATTACAGTCCAAAAGTAAAGTAAAGTACAGGACTGGATTTTCTTTCCATTGTTGATGGAATGTTAAACCTGACGTCCAGTTTTTAAAAAACAAACGTAGACTCTGCCCAACAGTCTGCAGCAGCAGACTGAGTTAGCTCATTTAGCCATTAGCCCCTACTGCTATGTTTATCCCAATAACACAATGGTTTCTAATGCAGTCTTGCTCACAGCACAATTAGCTTTAACTTTAACAGCCTCTGATTGCCTCTCTCTCAGTAATTAGGAAACATTGTGTTTGAAAGGTTAGTGATGGGCTGTTGTGTATGCTTAAACAAACAGACTTTGGTGTCGATGACATCACTGGTAAAATATTGACATCATGTATTTATCTGCCTGATAAATATTTCTAAGTGCATTTCTCAACAAGGTATTTAGTTTATAGCTCCTTTTTTTTTTTACAGTGGAACAGCTTTTCTTAAGAAGGTTTGTATGTGTGTGGTATGACCTGCACTTATAATCCACGAGTATTAATTAGTTTGCGCTGCTGCTGGACCTTTGATACGTGAAACATACAGGGCTCTGACCTTAACCTTGGCACTGACGGCCAATCTCTTCCCATGAACACTCCTGTGTGAATTTGGAGCAAAGCCCCCGGATAAATGGCAGGTTTAATGTAATCCCTGAAAAATCCTATTCACGCTGCTACTCTTTCTTCCTCCTTCACTCCCTCACTCCCAGGGAGCACACTAAATAGTTAACGGCAAGGCCAGCCATGAGGCACAAACCGCAAGGAGATGGGACTAAACGTAAGCGTTGGACCACCACGTGTGTTTGTGCACGAGGGGAGATTAGTCTCCTTTTACAGAGCCTGCTTTTAATCTGCACTCCTCTCCCCCCGTCTCTCCCACTTTCCATGTCTCTCTTTCTTATTGACAGTGAGAGTTTTTTAGCGCTGCTTTCAGCCTTAATCTCTAGCACTCTGCCTCCGCTGTGAGCTTGGGTATTCAGAGGAGGCAGCATGCCACTGGGAACCCATTTTGTAAAGCTCACCCCATAAAAAAGGAAATGAAAAACTACAATGGAAACATGGGAAAAGTGTGTAAAATTCAGAACAAAAAAGCAAGGAAGACAATAAAGGAGTGAAGGAGAAATGTGAGCAATAAGAAAGGAGCAGACGAGAAAGAACAGCCAGGCCCAGATTTGCACTCACAGAGTCTGAAGCCCTGGTTCTGCTGCTGCTGCTGCTGCTGCTGCTGCTGCTGCGAGGTCTCACTGTAAACCGTAGTGATGTCTCCCTTCTCACAACTGTTGTAGCAGCGGCCGCCACTGCATACCCGGCGGCACTTCATAGGTGTGAAGACGATCTTTATGCGGTCCAGGTTGGACGTGAGGTTGGCCCCTGGAAAACAGACACACACCTGCGTGAGAAGAAGCAGCAGCAGAGAACGGCTGGAGTCGAGCTGCATCCTTTCTCCGTCAGCCTGAGTGTGACACAATCTCCATCTGGGCAAAGGGAGGTTTATAAGTGTGCGAGGGTGTGTGCTGATGACTGGCCAGTAGCTTGCTGTAGCCCTGTGAGTGATGTGGATGTATCACAGGCCAACAAATGGATGAGAGGATAACATTAGCCATTGGGCCGACCTCCAATCACTTTATCTTTGGGACAAGGTGTTTTGGATATGTGTGTTTGTGAGAGAAGATGAGAAACGTACAAGTGAAAGTGAACATTGCGTAATGGTGGGCAGGCGTTCAACAGCCGTTGCCCTGGTGGCGGCCTAAAAACAAGAGACGTGAACAGTTGACAGCTGTGTACTGAAAGCTGGAAAGTGTGTCCGAGCGAAATGACGTTGTAAAAGTAGGTCAGACTTTTGAGGAGCTCACAAGTGTGCAGCTGCGTGTAAACACACAAACAAACAAAATTGCACTTTGTCTCCTCTAGAAACACAGACACAAACACAGCAACGTGCTGCATGTCCCTCAGATGCAGCGTGAAACATCTGTTCGGTGATAGGCAGACCAACGATGAGGAGTGATGACAGGACTGGACAATGGGAAATAAGTAATGTAGCCACAGAAACACTGCAGGGATTTATTCAAGATATTGGACTCAATCACCTGCTTTGTCTCTATTTTAAATGTAGTAAATATGAACTAATAAAAGGATTAGTAGGATGAATACATGAATAATAATAATAATAATAATAATAATAATAATAACCCCCTTTGTCACTTTTGAGTGTCACATTTTTACTGCTGTGTTCCTCAGCAGAGATACTTCACTACCTTGTTTCACGGTTTTTTTTTACTTCTAAATAGAAAATGTTGTTTAACAAACCAGGTTAGCGGCAGTAAAGTAACACAAAACCAGATTATTTTCAGCTAATATGTACGCTAATATTAGCTGCGGCTAGCGAAATCTAAACCTAGTTTAGCGAAAGCTAAACCTAGCTTAGCGAAAGCTAAACCTAGCTTAGCGAAAGCTAATCTTTGTTTAGCGAAGGCTAATCTTTGTTTAGCGAAGGCTAAAATTAGTTTAGCGAAAGCTAAACCTAGCTTAGCGAAAGCTAATCTTTGTTTAGCGAAGGCTAATCTTTGTTTAGCGAAGGCTAAAATTAGTTTAGCGAAAGCTAAACCTAGCTTAGCGAAAACTAATCTTAGTTTAGCGAAAGCTAAACTGAGTTTAGCGAAAGCTAAACCTATTTTAGTGAAAACTAATATTAGTTTAGCGAAAGCTAATCTTATCTTAGCGAAAGTTAATCTTAGCTGTAGGAGGAAATTCATTATTAGTTTAGCGAAAGCTAATCTTAGCTTAGCGAAAGCTAATCTTAGCTGTAGGAGGAAATTCATTTTAGAGTACTTACTCAGTGTAGGTACAAGGTTTCTGAGGGTTTTTTGTATGAATAGTAGCAAATCAGATTTTTCTCACGTCACAGTTGTATGTGTACAGCTCTACAGAATGTTACTGAGCTTATGGCCAATCAGTGCCTCACTCAGGGGAACAGAGTTGGTAATGTTTGAAAATGAAAATAAGAAAATAAGACAGAGAACTGTTACATAGTTTATATGGAAGATGGATTAAACATTTACAGATTGGCCAGATAAGCATATATTCTGGTTATTTTGTGGCAATGTTCACACGCATAATTAAGGTCACATCTTGTTATTTGATATTTTGTAACTTTCCTCCTTCAAGCTCCATCGTTTTATCTTATCTTTTAATTTTCCCCAATTAAATCAATTTATCAATAACTGTTCTGTAAGTACAGATGGAATACTTCTGGACTTCCTCGGCCTTCACTGAGGGCTAGATTCATCTTTACCAATTATACCCCGATCGTGACTTAATGTGTGTTTAGTTTGGAATTAACAACTTATGAACTTCTGGGATAATGTTTAGACTTTGGATGTAGCGACAGGTGACAGGTGTTCTTACCTGCTGGATAGAGGGCACTGTTGAGCTGGTTGTCACTTGAGGGTCTGTGACCATTAAAGCTGTGCATTGTGTTTTGTCCACTTCTGTGTCCATTCCAGTTTCTCTGCTCACTGCCGCGGCTGTTGTAGCTGTTCCCACTGGGTAGAGCGTTGGAGGTGATCGGCCCAGATGACGACGGGTAACGTTTTACAGTGCGAGAAGTCCCCGTCTGCTGAGGGGAGGTGTCAGGGGGTCCCCGTCTCACTTGAGTCCTGCCGGTCACATTATTGCAACATCGTAAACATATGACCTCAGATAAAGACACTCGCAAGACACTCCCATAATTGACAATTATTATTCAGCATGAAATCCATTAGAAAATTATATCCCCGAGCGACAAACATGCCATCTTAGGTCATAGTTGGAGATAATTGTTTTCATGCATAAGACACAACAAACTGTAATAACATTGTTTCACTTAAATAAATAAAACCCATATAATTCTTTCGGCACAGATGGCTTTTCCACATCTGTTGTAAGTCAGGGAAACATGACCCTTGAAGATTCACTTAAACATTAAAGACATTTGAGAGAGAACAGTTTTCATCACTGATTAACCAGAGGAAGAAAAAAGTATCACAAAACAAGGGATTTGGACTCAAATCTCCCTGTGTGTCTGTTTCGAACCATTTCTGTCTGCATGACTAGTTTATGGACACTGTCTTCTGACTGTTGCCACAGAAAAACAGAAAAATACTCATGACTGCAGTTTGTTTGGAGGAAATATTTAAAACTGGGTTGAAAGAATAAATCTTAGCCAGTAAAGACTGGCTTATTGATGTCAGAAAATCAATGGATCTTCATATTCATATCAGGTCATATTTAAATATAGAAAGTAACACAAGATTTTAAAAAAAAAAAGATTTTAACATTATCACCATTTATACCAATATCGTATTGTCCCATTATTGTATTTTTTGCTGTTGGCAAGCAAGAAAGAAATAAGGTACAATTGGATTAATCTGGATTTTTGTAAACCTTAACAGCTCTGTACTATGTTTACATTTATGCATTTAGCAGACGCTTTTATCCAAAGTGACTTATAAGAGCAGAATTAACAGTCAAGCTACAGGATAGCAGGAACTCTTGAAAAGAAGACTGCCATTGAGTAAAGTGGGACTTCTTAACTGGAGTGGAGATAAAAGCAGATGGAGAAGGGAAGTACTAGGACAAGAAGTGTTCTCTAAATGCCACCAGCGTGGAACGATCCATGAAAAGCCTGAGCCTGGATTGTCTTGTACGACGTACAAGGCACAGCCAGTTGAGCGGGGTGGTCGTGGTCGTAACATAAACCTTTATTAGGGCGCTTAAGTAGACTGGATCGGACCCATAAAGCACCTTGTAGGCTAGCTATGCACTACCTTTGTAATGATTGGTCGATGAGATGCATTAACAACATTGCTTCTTTAGAAACAGTCATGTCAGTTTGGTCCAACCATGCAATAAGGGTCAGTAGCCACATGATACCCATGAACCACAGGTTGCAAACCGAGTCATTGACGGTGTGAGGGTCTTTTCAAAAGCACTTCCTCATTCACGGATTCCTCCTTTCCGACAGTTGCCCTCGATCTACCTATTTTTGGAAAAGATGACCTACACAGACGCTCCTTTCAGACATATTTTAAAACCGAATCATTGTGCGATTATCGTCTTTGTTTCAACTCGATGTCATCATAAACAACCACTAATGTAGGTTGGCTGACGTAGATCAAAGCTGCTTATAAACCAGCTGTCTGCTACCATTTGTCTTGCCAACCATTAAAAATTATTTTTCCTCTCAGACAGGGATTCACCTCCACTGATAACATCTGGAGCGCACTCATCTGCCGTGGCAGACGCTCAACAGAGCAAGGCAGAGATGAACAAAGTTGACGGAGATCAGAAGAAACAGACACCCACGGAGCACCTGTGGCCCTGTGAGGTAACTGTGGCTTTAATCAAACCACAAAAACCCTACATTAGCATTTCATTCATGTGGTTTCTGGCCACACACCCTGTATTTATACTGTGTATAATCAGCTGTACTAACGTATAGTCGCACAACAATAATCAGGTAAACAGGAACACGTGTGCATATTATTGAGCACAGAGCTCGCATCCACAAACACACACACACACACACACACACACACCCTGTCTGAGACGCAGCTCCACCCTCCACATATCTCCTCCCCTCAAAGAGCAAACGCCACATTCCGGCTGCCATTGGAAATGGGACACCGAATAAAAGAGTGGAACAGAAGACAAATGTTTAATAGTGGTAACGCTCACGTCATGCTTTTCGAAAGACTACTCTAACGCACAGCTGGTGACCCCGATCCTTAATCAAAGGGGCGAGTCCCAGCAATGTCACAGGGAAACAAGAGGTGCTTGTGTCTGTCTGGTAAGGACAAACAGGAGGAGGCTGCTCTGCTAAACACAAGCTGCACTGTCTACTTCAAATGATGGATGGTGTATTTTTCCATCACCGTGAGCGACACCTGGCCTGCAAGCATCACACCTCACACCCTCCAACCCCTCCGCCCCTCACATCGGCCAGATGTTTCTCCATCCATCTCTGGTTTGAACGGCAGAGCGACTGACTGACCCAGCATGAGCTCAGCGCTCCTGCAAATCAGGAGGGCAGCAGAGGGCGAGCACAATTAACTCTGAATGTTTGATGTCATCATTACGAACTTCAAGGTCCCTTCCATCCGAGGAGGAAACATCCCCAGTGTCTTGTTCTGCATGACTTGAAGGCAATTTTGAAGAAAACAGGTGGACGTTAGTCTACACACACACATCTACGCTCTAAAAATCCATCATCGTATCGATGCTCGTTGGTTTCCGTATTTTGCACCGTGACGTCTGTGGAGTCTGATCACTGCTAGGAATCGCTCCAGCCACCCCCGCCCCTCACCCCGCGACCTTGACAATTAGCAGACGAATAAAAGTAAAAGTCATAAGTCATCTTTTGTCATGCTGATTTGATCAGGAAGATTCACATTCGGAGCATAACGTGAGGTGAGTTAAGAGCTCGACATGTGTTCGATCAACTTGGGAACATGTGCCGTATAATTATATTCAAAGAGGGGAAAAAAGGGGTTACAGTAAAGGCCTCCGATAAATCTCCGTCCAAAGGCTTGATCAAAGCGTCAGCTTATATTCGATATCGGAGGAGGCCTCCACCTCACACATAAAGACGCTGGCGTTGTCTACTCTCGCTCATCATTATTCATTTCACATGTATGGAAAGCAATTGGAAATAATTCCTCATCACATTTGTGGAAATTACAAATCAAAGTTATGGCCAACTGTGTGTGTGTGTGTGTTTGAAACGTCCAACGAATTCATAGAAAATTAACTTGGCAGAAATTCTCTTTCTAGGTATCTTTGAACTGCGGGCGGCAGTACTGCGTGTGGATATTCGTCCTGGAGTAGAAATGACAGGAAGTTTGAACGACAGCCGAGCCTCTTGATGCTGATGAGATGGAGATGAGGCTGTTTTGGAGCACAAACAACGCAGAGTCGAAAACACAACCCAGGACTGAGATGGAAAATGTCTGTCTAATCTCCCGAATCCTGCTGACGCTGTACTTCAACGCTGTTGTTCACAGAACCTGGTCAATTTTAATGTCAAGTAAAATCGAAGGTGGACTGTGAGTTCCTAGAGGACTGTGGTGTTATGTGGAGAAATTTGGGTGTGTGGCCGTGTATGACGTCAAGATGACACAGTTACAATTTGTGAAACAGAACTCCCTAGGTGCTCATTTAGTCCAATTCTTATTATGACACTACTGTGAATTATTAATAAAAAATGTGTCCTCTGACCAACTGATACATCGACGTCCTGGTCCAATTCTTATTATGACACTACAAAATTATTACAAAAAACAGGGTTAAAAAAAATAAGAATTATTAATAAAAAATGTGTGCTCTGACCAACTGATACATCGACGTCCTCTACATCAGCTTTTTCCAACCTTTCTCGAGCCGGGGCACATATTTGACATGACAAAAATCCCATGACACACCACCAAACAAAGAATGTCACAAAAAGTCTCTGTCATGAAAAAAAATTATCTTCTAGTTTACAAATGACTCACAGTTTACTGACTCAAATCCCGGTCCTGTTTAGTTGAACACAACACTTTTTTCCTTGCAGGAATTGAAGAAAGACAAACACAAAGACCATCTTCAACAGCTCTGAGTTTTCGTTCTCTTTTTTTAGTGAAATAGTCATCTTCTTCCGCCAAGTGGAAGAAAGTGGAGTTTTAATTAATATTAATTGCTGTAAATAAATAATTATTTCAAACCAATTAACTGAAATTTCATGATGTACATAATGCGAAAAAAAAATCAAAATCTTTTTATCGTGTGCAATAAATATATTGAGTGTTAATGAGTCAAATAATAGTGATTTTAATAATGACCAGAATAATCATGAATTTCTTAACCATATTAGAGCATTGTTTCCCAAAGACTGGGTCGCAGGCCCTCAGGAGGGGCGCAAGAGATTTTTTTTGGGTCGTCTCTGATCATCTTTCTCAGAAGTTTACGAATAATGTCTATTGACTTGGGTCGCGAAGGTTTGTGACTTTTAAAATATGGGTCCCCAGAAAAAAAACTTTGGGAAACACTGTATTAGAGCCCTAACTTCCCATCATCCTCTTGGTACATTTCTGTGAGCCGCTCACTGAGAATCACGTCTCCCTCAGATACAGACGGTGAAACTCAGTATTTATCTGTCGATTCTGTTCACCCCAAACATCCACACACTCACACCCTGCACTGACCCAGATCTTCTCAAAGTGTTTACATCTCAAACCATTTGCGTAGCCCACTCGGCATGACGAGGCCCTTACTGTGTTTATGTGAAGCCCTGCACAGAAATGTATGGGCCACAGCTGACTCACTCGCTCACAGTGAAGTCTGTGAGGTGATTTCATTGTCTTCTCTCTCTATAAATCTTCATAAAAAAACAAAACGCATTTGTCAGTGGATGCAGTTAAGGCAGATAACCTAGTTTTTACTAACCTCTGGATGCCAAGTGGGCTGAAAGGCTCTTTTTTTTTTTTACAGGCTCTTGCAGCTCTCAGCATTAGTTCACATTGACAAAGTTCATTTTTCATTTTGATTTGTTTGAAAATACCAGGCTCTGAACCCACAACTAATGGCTTTGGCTTGTGGCAGCTAATGCAAAAATAGACTGATACGAAAAGTTTGTCTGGTG